TCCCCAGGCAGCCTGGGGGGTCAGCTGTGCACCGAGCGGGGGTCAAGCAGGAGAGCCTGTTTAAAGTTTAGACCTGTACTTACAAGCTTTTGAAGCAAGGGCCTCTGCTTTGGAGTAATAGGAGAAAACATTTCTCTGGTTTGCAGGAAAGAAAGGGAGAAGAAAAAAGTCATTCCAGTGTTAAACTCAATAAGAGAAAAGCCAGTGCGTTTATCTTTAAATAGAGAACAGCTGACTGCAAAGGTCTCAGCTTGTTCTTAAATGAAGAAAGTAAATTATCCCCAAATTAAAAACAAGTCTCCGTATAGGAGCAGTTACTTAAGTCAGATGGAACCGATCCGTATCTCAGTCACCCTTCCGTGTCCTCTGGGCTTTTACAGCCAGTGGCACCTTCTCCCTCATGCGCCCGGGCCGTGCTGAGGTGCCGCAGCCGTTCATGCCCCAGTCGAACCACGCGAGCTGCCGGCTCAGAGAGCCAGGATGGAGCGGAGAGGCTGCTGTCGCTGGCATGTCTCCCGCAGCTGCCCTGCCTGGCAGCGTGTGGCTCTGTGCCGGAGGGGACCCGTGCCCCGGCCACCGCAGCTCTCCAGGCGCGATGGGTGAGTGCGAGTGGTTGGGGACGATTGGATTTCCTGGAGCGGGGACCCGGTGTGGTCCCTGTCCCAGGTCAGGGGATGGTTTCACAAAGCCTGTGCACAGGTAGGGATAGCAGTGTAGGGGGTGCCAGGCTTCACCATCAATAAAAAGGGAATCTCTGCATCCCCAGGGGTTAGGAGAAGATGAGCAAGCAGCTTATTTTCATGCTGAGCACAGGAAGACACGTGAATAGCCGCTGCATGACCATCTCTTTCGCTTTTTGTTAATGGCTAACAGCTTAAAATAAGCAGTGCCAGACTCTGCATGTACAGTTAACAGAAAATCGACTTCTGCCACAAAGAGTTTATTTTGTGAACCGGGAAGCAGGCCCTTTCTATTTCAGCAAAACCACTGTACCATGACCGCGGGGTGAGCTGTTGACTGCAGCTTTCGGGCTTGCGTT